GAAAAAGAAAGCGATAGAGAGAGTCGATGCGGTTCGTTCGCGGAGCTGCACGTCAACACGTTGCTTTTTGCGCTCCCAAATTCCACGTCGATCGAGTTCGGGTTTTGCGCGCGGTGCACCAATCCTGTTCCTTTTCTTCTCCCATACGTAGCAACTTAGTGGAAGATGCCTCGATATCAATCTCTAATTATTTCTTTATTCTTGTGAGTAGAAAAGCATAAGTCTCATATGCTTAAGTTATGTAACGCATGCTTATATCTTGTAAAACGCTTAATAAGAGCCGTTCGGAATTGATTGCTTCCGTATGAAGTATTTGAACTTGTAAGTGGTTTTGCTAAAAATTTTGCTAAAAACGCTTGTCAAACGTTGACGTGTTTTACAAAGGATCACTTGTGTGTTTTTCATAAAGTACTAAAAAGTGTTTCTATAACTAAAGTATATAAGATAACTTATCAAACGTTGTTGTTCTACCTTTAAACTTTTAGTTATCTGAAAACGCTTTTAGAAACGTTAGATTCTAAAAGCATTGCTAACTGATTAGCAAATGAGGCATTTCCTTCTTTCATGTCAGGTCATGCTTAGTATTGTTGGATTCCAACCAAAACATAATTAACATAGTGGCAAATTTGGCAAAAGGACCAACCTAAAGATTCGGTATTATAATTGTCATTGGCCAATAAAAAGTTGGGTCGGTTTTCCTTGTTTGGCCAATCACAATGATCACAAAATTTTCAGACGCACCACCCTTTATTTAAGCCTTAATTCTAGCTATGGTTTTGTACTACTATTTGGACCTGATTTCGCACCCACTTCACTCGTATATTCTAAGTTGTTTGATAAGAGAACTATTAAGGATCATGATTGGTTTCTAGATAAAGGTTGAAACAATCGCAGAATCTATCTAGGTTTAAAGTCCTAGTCGAAGACGACAAGACTTGGCAACGATAGAGTTTCACCCGAGAATAATTTCAAGTGTATTCAGAAAATATGCTCAGGAATTGGAATATTATCAGAATTTTCCAACTCGGTAGACTTGCCCATTACAAGATCCACCTCTATAAATAGAAGTGGTTCTGCAATGTGAGAAACCTTTTCAACTCAACAAACGAACTACTTAGCGCTTCACAGGAAAGCGTACTCACAACCCTGAAAAAAAAATAATTAATTATCCTAATCCCCCATCAACACATATACAATTTGTTAGAATATAATTAGGTTGGCCACCGACAACATATTTTTGTTAGAACATCACTGTGTTGGCAATCGTCAACATATTCAGTTCATTGGAACATCACTTGAGTCGTAGAACTAGTCGCTCTAGGAGTACCTTCAGTTTGGTAGAACAACACTACTTCTAGTTCAGTCAGTTATCTATCCAAGTCTCAGCCGGCGAAGAGTCTTTAATTCTTTTGTAGAAAGAGGTCACTTCATTAGCTTTCTCGTCGAAATGAGTTGTTCTATGATCAGCTACTCACATGTGCATTTCAAAGTTCAGTATTCAGACTAGGAGTGGATTCGGTTTCATTCAGTTCGGTTTTTTGCCAAAATCGAAATTGAACCGAAACTTCGGTTTGATTCGTTTTGGTTTGGTTTGTTCGGTTCGGTTTTGGTACGGTTTTGATTTTTTTGATTTTTTTTTATTTTTTATAAAACTTGATCTTTTTTTAATATGAAACTTAGAAAAGAGGCTTGCATTGGTAGACTAATGATAAGAAAATGAGGAAAGTGAGAATATGGGAAGGTAGTTGTACGTATACGAGATCATATAAACCAATTCTATTCTATCAACAACCTTAATTGCAAAGAAAAATGATCACCGTATCCATTCAAAAAGCAAACAAATGAAGAAGCTCTTCCAAAACTTTCCTCTATAACCAATGAAATATCCTTCCTAATTGAACAAAGTATGCTCCTTGAAAAAGCCCTAGGCTTAGTTTCAAACTTGGCAACAAAGTTTCACAAAAGAAACATCATGGACATACATTCATAAAGTGTAAAGGGATTCAATTCGGTTTCTGAACCTCCAAAACCGAAACCAAACCAATAAGGTTCGGTTTGGTTTTTTCTTTTTTAGTTCAGTTTTTTTTTTTTCGGTTTTCAGTTTCGTTTTGGTGTTTGGTGTGTTTTTTTCTATTTTCGGTTTTTTGAACCCACCCCTAATTCAGATGGTCAAACAACGTTCACGATAAATACACTCAATTTATTTGAGTATCTTTGCCCCTACTGCTTGAGACCGATTCGGTCCACTTATATTCTCACGAATATAAGTGAAGTTGCTGAACCTGGTGCAAAAGATCTTGAACTTTGCAATGAATTAAGCAACCTTGTCTTCAGGCTCTAGAACCCTAGGTCGAGAGGCGTTTCGTCCTCGGTAGTAGTCACTAAGTGCAGAAGTTAGCAGTGCGTTCAACACTACCACCACATCTATTCTACTCGCCCAACCGCCCGCATTCACAAGAATGATGTAGTTAGCTCAATAGTTGCTTGACACCATATAGGTCTTGTAATTTCAAGGTCAACAATTATACATAAAGTTTCACTTTATACTCTACATTTTGTTCTGACTCATTTTACCCCATGTACTCATCTTTTGTATTCTATGTTACCATATTTTGTCAATTAGGTTGAGATAGACGGTAGTTTCACTAAAGTGGTAGGTTCTTTGGTTTTTCCAATTATGAATACAGGGATAAGTCATTGTGATTGTGAATTCTAATGACAACCTTTGGAAACTTGAGCCATTTTAAATTGTTATGGAGAGAATTTGGGCAATTTAGGTGCGGCCTTTTATGTCTTTTTGGTTTGGGTTAAAGTGATTTTGTTGTTTTAAGTGTGAAAATCGATTGGAAAGACCAAAGAGCATGTCCATGTTTGTAAAACTAATGTCTCTTTCAACTCAGTTGACTGCATCATGACATAACATAAAACACGTAAAATAATATTACCTCAAAAAAAAATAAAAATAAAAGGTAATCGTAGAATAATTACGAAACGTAGTAAAAATTTCACTCCTAACCAAAATAAAGCATTAATTTATTTTTTACGACTAACCTACTCTTGTTGAGAATTAAATACGCCAAATATATTCCAAAAACTTGGTATTTCCAAACATAGGATAGAAAAATGTTCGTTTATGCATAACAAACATAGCCTAAAGGGTCATTTACGAGTGAAGAACATTATTAGTTCGTAATACTAATTGACATCTTAAAATTAGGTCTTACTCAAAGTATAAAGTATAACAAAAAGTTATTTTTATTTTTTATTTATTTTTTTGTTGTTGTAAATAAACGATATTATATAAACTAAGGGCTCGTTTGGTGGGTTAGATGGGATTGGATTTTAGGGATATGATTGAATTGGTAAGAACTTATAAGATAAAACTTGTAACTCATGTATAAGAATATGTAATATAACTCACTTTATTATAAATCCATAACCCATCATATCTAGTTCTATTCATCTCACATTTTGATATAATAAACAACAGACTTGACTCAACTCCATTTTAATTAATCACAACCTACCCATCCAGCCCACCAAAGAAGGCCTAAAGGGGTGAAGAAGTGGGCAAAACCTTACAATGGATAACAATAATGTTTTTCAAATTCGCCTTTGGCGATGTTATTCAAATTCGTCTTTAATGAGAATCAAACTTAAGACCTTTCACTTACAAATAAAAAAAACTACCACTAAAACCGTAATATATGCTGCACAAACAATTAGATTTACAATTTCTACATGATTGGGACCTAGCATTGGAATTAGGGCCTAATCAAGGGGCACTCATAAGGCGGTGTTAATGAAGCTAATGAATCTCGAGAATCAGACGGTCCAGATCCATCCTACTCATGATCCACAAAAGCGATCCCGGCGCGCGGCCATCAGCCCTACATCAGCTTTAATGCGACTTATATACACAATAGTCAATGGCTAACAGCTAGCCTCTGGAGTTCTAATTAATCAAGGAACCTCGGAAGACAGTCTTTTCCTTAAAAATCTCTAATTTATCATTACAAGTGTACTAACCGTAAAAAAAATGCAATTCTTATAAAGAAAATAACTAATTAAACAAAATAAATAAATAAATAAATAACTTATTAATCATAATTATTATTGGTATTTTTTTTTCCAAAGATAAGAATTTCATCATATTTGAATTAAAAGATTTACACCATAAAACAAATTATTAAACAACCAATCTGGCTCATAACAGTGCCAAACATAAAGACTTCCTCCTGTGAGGCGAAAAAGGCCACATGATATTGGTCACTAAGACGTATTCAATTGAGATTTTGATAATTAGATTTTAGTTCTTTTTCATAAGTATTTATTTGAAAGTGTAGGTGTATTCAATTAAATTTTAAAGGAGTTTATTAAATCCTTAATTAGTAAGTATAAATTACGTCACAAGACAAATTGAATATAATTAAATATAATACAATTGTCAATAGCAATTCAAAATAAGTCTTCTACTATTCTAAATTCAGCAATTTTCTTTCACTAGTACATAGAACTGAATGTCATGAAAAACAAATAGCATAGGTTAAGAATAATCAATCTAATAGTGGTAGAAAACAAAAAGAGCATGGAGCTCATTGGTGAGCTTAGATAATTATGTCTGGGTAGGGGTATATTACGGTTTAGTGGTATTCCTCTTAACTTATAAGTGAGAGATCTTAGTTCGATTCTCACCAAAAGCAAGTTTGGACCACATTACTGCTAATCCTAAGTTAAGCCCATCACTATTTTCTTAAATATAAATAATATCGTTTGTTCATAAATAAAATAAAAAATAGTCATAGAAAACAAATCGAACTACTAAACATTTGTAGCCCAAACCCAAAATATGAAATTATTGAATTAAAATTGGAAAAATAAAATAAAGGTGAGAGCTTCAACTATACGACATGTTCCATTCCATACAAGTCTTTTGATTGAAAAAGATTCACCTCGCACATATATATCTTCCTTCCGTACCCTCCCTCACACACTCATCATCATCACCGCCACCGTCGTCCTCCAGAAGAATTCCAAGGCGAAAAAAAATCCCAGAGACAATCGAGCCCTTCAGCCCTACGCAAACCCTACACGTTTTCCCTCTGCAATTCGTCTTCGACTCCCTCGAAGGCCGATTGATACCAGCAACCACAGCACCAACAACAACTACTGCACCTTAGGTACAATTAGACAACCATAATTCCCAAATTCTGATTAATTTAATTTTTTTGTTGATTAATCCGTCGCCTTTTGAATACATAATCACACTTATCCGTGTTGATATGAACAACCAATGATGTGTTTTTTGTGTTGAATGTGGATTTTTGCTTTTCTGGGGTTTTATTTTTTGGAGATTTAAATATTTTTTATGAGTCGGTTGTTGTTGGATTATGCTTAAGTTTTTGGGGAATCTATATTGCTACTGAAGATTTGAGTGTTTGGTATGCGATAGAAACGCAAGCTTTGGCATAAGTAAAATACATTTTGCTTCCAGCTTTTTGCTGATCATCTGGGTGCTTTTTGATGATCGTCTGTTTTTGGGTTTCGATTTTCAGTTTAAGATTGTATTTTGTGCTTGCTGTCTGTTGTAAGTGTTATCTGATGCTAAAGTTTAATTGTTTTTTTTTTTTTTCAATTGTTTGGTAATTATGAATTGGATTTCTGGGTTGAATTCAGTTTTAGAACTAGAGTTAAGGTGGATTTATGCTCTGATCATGCAGGAGTAGATAGATATTGGTTCCTGTGAAATTGGAGTTATAAATGGAGAATCGAGGTCAAAAGCGCACTGAGCTTGATGATGAATTGCCAGCAGATAAGCGGGCGTGCAATTCATTGGAGTTTAGAGCGAGTTCATCAAACTCTTCAGCTCAAACCCATATGAATTCTGTGAACTCTGCACCTGAAACCAATGACCATGATATGGACACTTCATCCTCTGCTTCGGCTAATAGTCGCTCAGAGGGAGAACGTGAGAGGGATTCAGCATATGGGTCTTGTGATTCAGATGATGCAGACGAAAGACACAGTGAACTCAAGGACTATCAGAGACGGAGATCTTCGGGTGATCATGGAAAGTTTAAGAGGATCTTATCATCTTTAAGTGAAGACACTGACCCTTCTGGGCAGTTAGCTGTTCTCACCGAGCTATGTGAAGTCCTGTCTTTCTGTACAGAGGACTCACTATCCGGGATGACGTCAGACGCATTATCACCGCTTCTTGTTAGACTTGCTAGGCATGATACTAACCCGGATATCATGCTATTGGCTATAAGGGCTATAACTTATTTATGCGATGTGTATCCGAAGTCATCTGGCTTCCTTGTTAGGCATGATGCAGTTCCTGCTCTTTGCCAGAGACTAATGGCTTTTGAATACTTGGATGTACCTGAGCAGGTAATGTTGCTGACTTGCTGTACATGGTCATATTTATGTTATCCAGGCATGACATTTATGGTATTGTTTATACAATGTAATAATGGGTTTGCATGAAATTCTTTTATTATTCTTCCGCAGTGTCTACAAGCATTGGAGAAAATGTCACGGGAGCAGCCACTTGCGTGCTTACAGTCTGGGGCAATAATGGCTGTTCTGAATTATATCGATTTTTTTTCGACAAGTATACAGGTAATTCAATTACTGATGTGTTTTTGCTAGAAATTAGATCATTTCTTTTTTAATGGTTCTTATATTACTTATATCTTATCTGCATCAGAGAGTTGCCCTTTCTACTGTGGTGAACATTTGTAAGAAACTTCCTTCTGAATGCCCTTCACCCTTCATGGAGGCTGTCCCCATACTGTGCAATCTTCTCCAGTATGAGGATCCTCAGGTATGGACTGTGAAAGTGTGTTTTTATGCCTTTTGCATATATTTCAAATGACCGTACTACTCATACTTTGTTTTATTTTCTCAGCTTGTCGAAATGGTTGCTGTTTGCTTAATTAAAATTACAGAACGAGTGAGCCAGTCCACTGAGATGCTGGATGAACTTTGTAAGCATGGGATGATTCGTCAAGTCACACATTTTATGAGCTTGAATACCCGGCCAACTTTATCCCAGCCACTTAGTAATGTAAGCAACTCAATATCATGTTTCTGAGACCCGCTTCCTTCTGTATTTTACTGCCTTGGAAGATGTTCTCACTGTTATACTTTGGTTGGCAGGGTTTGATGGGGGTACTTGCCAAACTTTCTTCTGGTTCGGTTGTAGCCTTCAGGGCTCTGTATGAGCTTAATATAAGCAGCATATTGAAGGATATCTTATCTACATATGACCTCTCTCATGGAATGTCCTCTAATCATGTGGTGGATGGGCATTGCAATCAGGTTTACAAGTGGATCTTTTGGTTCTTTTCTTTTTCCAGGGTTACTGATTCTTATTGAATCTTAAGAATGTCAAATTGTGTATTTGAAAATGTTGTGACTTACTACTCTTTCTTTATTTGCGAGATGATTACCGACTTTCAAAGAAAATGTGTAAAAATCTTTTGTGATTACAAAATAAGCATGTGTTGTTTTATTTATAACTTGAGGAAATTGAATGGGATCATTGTTTCTATTTGTCTCCTTCAGGTATATGAAGTTTTGAAATTGCTAAATGAGCTTCTTCCAACTTCGACCAGAGATCAAGAGAATCCACAGTTGTCGGATAAGGAATCTCTTTTAGTTAATCAACCTGATCTTCTGCAAAAGTTTGGAATGGATATACTTCCATTGTTGACTCAGGTTTTGTTTCTGATAATACATGGCACTTTATTTGCACTCCATCCAGCCAGTGAATAGTATTGTAATGTTTATTTCACTTCTCAACAGTTCGTAAACTCCGGTGCCAATTTATATATTTGCTATGGCTGCTTATCTGTTATCGACAAGTTAATTTATTTGAGCACATCAGACATGCTTGTAGAATTGCTTCAGAAGGCCAACATTTCAAGGTAATATGTCTCCTTGTTTTTTCACTAGAGATCAATAAATCTAGGAATTCTTGCTAATTATAATAAGTCCTCTCAATGTGGCAGTTTTTTGGCTGGAGTGTTTACACGAAAGGATCCCCATGTGTTGATATTAGCTCTACATATTGCTGAGCTAATCCTGCAGAAACTTTCTGATTATTTCTTGGACTCTTTCATAAAAGAAGGCGTCTTTTTTGCCATTGATGCACTGTTAACACCTGATAAGTGTCAATTGGTAACCCTGGAAAAATGTTTGAGGTTGTTGTTCCCTGTGTTTAGTGGCTCACAGATTTTGTTGGATCCTCGTCAGAAGTCTACTTCGAGGGAGGTCCTGAGGTGCTTGTGTTATGCTTTTGCTACTGATAGATCACCATCGGTGTCAGAAAAAGGAAGTTGCATGCTTGAAAAGGATTCCTGTTTATAATCTTGCAAAGCATATAAGGACCAAGTACTTTGCACAAGAATTGTATGACCCTGAGAAAGCATTAACTGATGTCCTTCAGAAGCTTAGAAAATTTTCTTCTGCAATAAGTGATTTGAACGCGTCCACCAATAATGATGCTCTTGATCAGCATGAAGAAAGGTTCTATAGTATCATGCGTCAAGTAATGGAAAAGCTTGGTGGACGAGAACCCATTTCCACTTTTGAATTTATCGAATCTGGAATTCTAAGGTCCTTAATGACTTATCTGTCCAATGGCCAGTACTTGAAACAAAAGGGGGAACTTAGTGCTGGTAACAGTGATATTTATTCTGTAGAAAAAAGATTTGAGGTGTTTGCAAGGCTATTATTTTCTCCTTTAGACATGATCACTGTGGACCTACCCATGATAACATTAATACGCAAACTGCAAAATGCGCTATCTTCTTTGGAAAATTTCCCTGTTATTTTGAGCAATGTGCCCAAGCTAAGAAGTTCATATGCTACACTTCCATATGGGCGTCGCACAACATATCCATGTATTAAAGTTCATTTTGTGAAAGACAAAGGGGACACGCGTCTTTGTGATTACCGTGAAGGTGTTCTGACTGTGGATCCTTTTTCCTCATTGCATGCCATTGAAGAAGTTCTGTGGCCTAAAGTCAAAGCAAAAAGAACCAGCCACATTAAATCACCTACACAAGTTAAGGACCAATCTGAAAGTCTACCGGATCAATCACCATCAAATGCAAGCTCTAGCCAAGGGGGAAGTCCACATCCTATGGAGCCTGAAAGCATGTCAACGGACTTGCCTGAGTTGCAGGTTTTTATTCCGGTTCACAATTAATCATACTGATAATAATGCTTTTAGAGAGGAGAAAGTCTTTGTTTTTATTTTAATTTTATGAGTTTATGTTGGGTGCATTTTGTCATCCTCAGCCTTACTTCTCAGGTAGATGAGGTCAATTTAACAGTGGCCTCACTTAAACAAGCGATAAGCTTAAGACAGACAAGTCCTGGAAATCTTTGATGAACTTATGTTTAAGAAAACACTATTCTTTTTTCTTTGAACAACTTTGGATAAATTTAGTCATGATTGATTCTTCTAATCAGCTCTAAGATTGTGCCAATGCCCTTACTTTTGTCGGTGGTTTAATGTTTCAGGAACCTGTGGAAAAAGAAGCACAATGTGCCTCAGAGGAAGACATTGAGATGGAAGAACAGTATCCAGTATCTTGTAGCAAAGAAGATTCTTCTTCGAAACTGTTATTTTATCTTGAAGGGCAACAGCTGGAGCCAGTCATTGACATTGTACCAAGCAATTCTGCAACAACAAATGAACGAACATGAAATTGTCATTGGTTCAAAACTTTGGAGTCAAGAATACACATTAACATACAGAAAGGCTGAGGTCAATATGGTACACATAAAGAATGTCTTTGTTCAGCAGAAAGTTCTGCTCAGAAAGTTGACGTACATGAGTTGTATACTTCATTTTTCTCCAGCTCGTTTGCTTATGATCTTGCTTCTGACTTGGAGAAGTCAAGTCCCGTTTATGATATAATATACATCCTCAAAAGCTTGGAAAGGATGAATAAGCTTATATTTCATCTGATGTCTCGTGAAAGAATATGTGCTTTTGCTAAAGGGAAAATCGATGACTTGGATAATTTTCAGACAGCAGTTATTCCAGTGCCTCAGAATGAGTTCGTGAGCAGTAAATTGACAGAAAAATTGGAACAACAGATGCGGGATGCTTTAGCAGTGTCCATTGGTGGTATGCCTTTGTGGTGTAATCAGTTAATGGAATCGTGTCCCTTTTTATTTAGTTTTGAGGTCAAATGTAAGTACTTCCGTTTGGCAGCATTTGGCCCACTGCTAGGTCAGCCTCATTCACCATCTTATAGGGATTCAGGGGTGACCAGTGACAGGAGACTAAGCTCCGGAAGCATGCCTCGAAAAAAGTTTTTGGTTTTCCGCAACCAAATTCTGGATTCTGCTGCCCAAATGATGGACCTGCATGCCAGGCAGAAGGTGCTCCTTGAGGTGGAATACAATGAAGAAGTTGGTACTGGTCTTGGTCCAACCTTGGAATTCTACACCTTGGTGAGTCACGAGTTTCAGAAGTCTGGTCTAGGCATGTGGAGAGAGGATCGTGGGTCTTTTACCACTGGTACAAGCCATGCTGGGGACAGTGGAATTTTGATATGTCCTTTTGGTCTTTTCCCTCGTCCATGGTTGGGTACATCTGATGAGATACAGACACAGTTCAGTGAAGTAATTAAGAAGTTTGTCCTTTTGGGGCAAATCGTAGGAAAAGCGCTCCAAGATGGGCGTGTCTTGGATGTGCATTTCTCCACAGCCTTCTACAAACTTATTCTTGGCAAGGTACTCCCAATTTCTGCACTATTTATTATTGAAAGTGAATGTTCATCATCACTAGTAAAGCAATGTTTCATCTCAAAACATATGTTTTCTTATTCCAGGAACTTGGTGTGTATGACATCCTGTCATTTGATCCTGAGCTTGGCAAGACACTGCTAGAGTTTAAGGCTCTTGTAGACAGGAAAAAATTTTCGGAATCCATTCAGGGAGAAAGTACAACATTGAAATTTGACTTGTGCTTTCGGAAAACCCATATTGAGGATCTTTGTCTTGATTTCACACTTCCTGGCTATCCTGATTTTATTCTGTCGTCTAGGCCTGATCATAAAATGGTAAGTCTCACTAACCTTATCCATTTATTGTTTCTGAGTTATTTCATTTGGTGAACCGGAAATTCAATTTACCCCACTTTCTAGGTAAATATTACAAATTTGGAAGATTATGTTTCACTAGTGGCGGATGCAACTGTAACTGCTGGAATTTCTAGACAAGTGGAAGCTTTCAAATCTGGCTTTAACCAGGTGTGTACTATCATGAAATGTCTTTTCAATAGCATGCTGGCTAAATTACCTCTACGCCTTTTCATTTCGATATAGATTTATGTTTTCTTTCTTCTTTGATGTTTCAGGTTTTCCCTATTGAGCATCTTCAGATTTTCACCGAAGAAGAATTAGAGCGTTTATTATGTGGAGAACGTGATTCTTGGGCTGTATGTCTGCAACCGCTTAATTTTAATACTTTAAAGGGTTATTGACTATATTCCTAATTTATAAATTTTTATCTTGCCAGTTCAATGAGCTCCTTGATCATATCAAATTCGACCATGGTTACACAGTTAGCAGTCCTCCCATTATCAATGTTAGTAGTTTGTTCTCTGTTCTTTGGTTTGTGTTGATGTTTCATGTGCATTTAAGAAATTTTTATATCACCATTTCCTTTGAATTTCAGTTGCTGGAAATCATAGACAAGTTCGACCAAGAACAGCGAAGAGCGTTTTTGCAATTTGTGACTGGGGCACCTCGCTTACCTCCTGGAGGTTTTGCATCTCTCAGTCCGAAGTTAACTATTGTTCGAAAGGTGCCTATCAGAAAAACATTATTTTTTCCTGATTGCTTTTTATTCGTTGTATAGGCATCGTCATCTGATCCTTCTTTGCTTTGTCTCTACAGCAATCTAGCAACTGCGCAGACTTAGACCTACCAAGCGTGATGACTTGTGCAAATTATCTTAAGCTGCCGCCTTACTCTTCACAAGTGAGCTTTGTTTCCTTATAGCCTTTCGTACTAGAAGTCGTTTGTAGGGAAACATTGCACCGACAAGATGCTAACATATCTCCTTTTCCTTTTTCAGGAGACGATGAAAGAGAAGCTGTTATATGCCATTACGGAAGGGCAGGGATCATTCCACCTTTCGTAGCCTTCCGTTTCTCAATCCGAAGGGTCAGTTCAACTGTGAATTTGTAATTATTAGAGTAGGCCTTTGCTGGTGTAGATAACAAGAACGGGTGGCTGTTGATGGTGATGGAACACAGTGCTGGAACAAGTCGAAGCTTCTTTGACTGACTAATTGGTAGGTCGTGTGAATGCCTGGAAAATTTTAGGTAGTTGGGAAATTTCAGGTAGCTGTAGAAAAGAAAGGATGGGGACGTTCAGATTGATGGTTTTGCATTTCCTTACAAAGCTGTGGACAGAGGTCTTTGATCATTACAGTTTCCTTTTTGGTTGCAGTGGAAAATAGTTAGTCTTTGGTTGTTGAATAAGTTGATGTAAATTTAGTTGCAGTTTCTTTCTAACCAATATTCTGATGTGATATTCTACCACATTTTAAATGCATCATTTTTAGCTAATTTTGGTTGCTGCCATCATTAGTCTGTCGGATGGCGATCAAGAGAGCGCGTTAGAGAGGATGTTCCCAAAAACGTAAATTTACGTCTAATCAAAGGGTTTATTGGTTTGTCGGCGGAGAGAGAGAGAGAGTAAAATAAGACTCTGATTTTCATTAACTCAATATATCGTTACACAAGTTATCTATGCATAAAGGTTTTTTTTTTATCTAAAATGGTTATTGAAATTTGCATAACACATAGTTTTGGTCCTTGAGATTTTCTAACTCTGGTTAAGTGGTTCGGAGCCATTGGCTGGAAGTTTGGGCAATTTTAAAGCTTTGTAATTTGACCCATAATATATCAAAATGAAGATAGGAAAGTGTAGAACAAAATTATATTTATTTGGAAGCCCAAAGGTTGCCGAATATAGCCAGAATATAGCCTGAAAAGTGACTGGTCTTATGGAAAACTGGAAAACTCAACGGAAACTAGGTAAACTTTAAACGTTCATAACTTCTTCAATACTCAACGAAACTGAGTGATTCAAAACGAAAATCATACTTCTTGATGAGATGAAGAGCATGGTACCTTTCTTGATGGCTAACTTGCCATGGTTTGGCCCACTCGATGTGACCAAGACAGCCACCTTCGAGCCATTTTCCGGCCAAACTAAGGCGAGTTAGCCATCAAGAAAGGTATCATTCTCTTCCTATTGTCGAGAAGTATGATTTTCGTTTTTGAATCACTCGATTTCGCTGAGTATTGAAGAAGTTATAAACGTTTAAATTTACTCAGTTTCATGCGAGTTTTCCAATTTTTCCGCGGACCAGTCACTTTTCAGGCTATTTTTTGGCCATTTTCGGCAACCATTGGGCTTCCAAATGATATAATCTTGTTCTACACTTTCCTATCTTGATTTTGATATATTATGGGTTAAATTTGGTTAAGAAACGATTGAGTTACAAAGCTTTGAAAATTGCCCAAACTTCCGACCAAAAGCTCCGGAACCACTTAACAGAGTTTTTAACGGAATAACCAAAATCATGGATGATGGAAAATCTTAGGAACCATTTCTATTGATTTTCAATTTTAGGGACCAAAATTATGTGTTATGCAAATCTCAGGAACTATTTTGGATAAAAAGTCATACATAAATATCATATCCCAACAATATATGCTAGCTCAGCATAATGAATAACTAATCACTAACCATCCTAAGCTTAACAGCTAAGTTAGAATCTAATTAGGTGGTTTTGGTGCATTGTTGTTGTGTGAGATTGTATCACTCTTAACACAGCCCCTCAAGTTGAAGGAAGGGAGATTGTACTGAGAGCTTGTAAGTAAGAGCAGCAAATCGATCAGCAACTAAGGACTTTGTAAAAATATCTGCAATTTAAAGAAGAGAAGCAACATGATGCACACCAATATGTCCAAGTAAAACTTTCTCTCGGATGTAGTGATAGTTGATTTCAACATGCTTAGTCCTAGCATGGAAAACATGATTGAATGCAAGAGCAATGACACTTTTGTTATCACAATAGATCACATGTGTCTTTAGCAAAAGAAAGGATATATCTTGCAGAATCTTGCACACCCAAGTAATTTTAGCGGCAATGTTGGCAAGAGATTTGTACTCTGCCTCTCTGAAGATCGAGCAACTGTAGCTTGTTTCTTAGCACTCCATGAAATTAGATTAGGTCCTAGGAAAACACAGTAACCATTGGAAGATCTTCTATCCACAGGGCAACCTACCCAATTTGCATCAGACCAAGCAGTGAGACATTAAGAACCTTGAGTAAACCAAATACCTGAATCCACAGTGCCTTTCAAGTATCTTAGGATTCTCTTGACTGGGATAGGTGAATAATTCTTGGAGAATGCATATATTGACAGACTTGGTTGACTGCAAAGGCTAAATCAGGCCTTGTCCAAGTTAAATATTGTAAAGCATCGACTGTGGACCTATAATAAGTGGGATCATATAAGAGAGTGCCGGAATGATCCAATTTGGATGCAAAAACAGGTGTGGCATAAGGTTTAACTCCAAGCGTGTCCGTCTTTTTAAGTAAGTCCAAGGCATACTTAGACTTATGCATAAACAAACTCTTTGCTGATCTTTGAACTTCAATACCTAAAAAGTAGTGGATATCTCCCAAATCCTTGACAGGAAACAGAGCTTGAAGCTTGGAATGATGGATTGACACTCAAAAACTTCCAGTGATGATTATATCATCAACATAGACCAATATAAAGGTAATGGATGTATCTCTTTTAATAAACAAGCTGGTATTAGAATATGATGAACTGAAACCCAAAGAGATAATAATATTGTAGAAAACCTCATACCAAGCTTTAGGGGTCTGTTTAAGACCATAAAGTGATTTCCTAAGCTTGCAGACATGATGAAGTTTGGAAGGATCCACAAAACCAGGGGCTTGAATCATATACACATATTCATTCAAATGACCATGAAGGAAAGCATTACTTACATCCAATTGGTGTACAAACCAATTATAATTGACAACAATGGATAGTAAGATTTTGATGGTAGTGGGTTTTACAACAAGGCTAAAGGTTTATGAGAAATCCAATCCTTCCTGTTGATGAAAATCTTTGGCAACAAGTCTTGCCTTATACCTTTCAATGGTGCCATCTGGTTTGTGTTTAACTTTGAAGACCCATTTGAAGTCTACAAGGTTGTAATTTTGATTGTTAAGAACTAATTCCCAAGTTCCAGTGGACTGCAAGGCTGAAACTCATATTGTATAGCTTCCATCCAGTGGGAATGCTTATAAGCTTAAAGAAAAATTGAGGGAGTAGTAGGTAATTTGGTAAAGTGTCAACAGTAGATAGAAGGTGATGTTTGGTGGCAGTGAACACCTTAAGTTTATGAATACCTTCTTTTACTCTTGTAATCATATGATGGGAATTAACAGGAGCTGGAGGAAGTAAAGATGTTGAATAAGATGTTTCTGGTGTAGGAGATGTAGTGTGAGATGCTTCTGTGCTAGAAAATGTTGTTGTGTGATGAATGACATCTAGAGTATGAGAAGTTGTTGAAGACATAGTTGAATTGGGAATGACATCTGGAGTATGAGAAGTTGTTGAAGACATAGTTGAATTGGGTGCATCTAATAGAGCTGCAGGGGTGACATACTTCTCAGAATGTGATATAGGTATTGGGATAGTAAGAGAAATATAAGCAGTGGAGTGATGACTTGAAGTTGTTCTTGGAAATAAAACCTGAGAACAATGCTTGTAGGGAAATAAGGATTCATCAAACACCACATGTCTTGATATGTATAACCTGTTAGTAGCAGGATCCAAACACCTATAACCATTGTGATTCAAACTATAGCCCAGAAGCGCACACTGTTTACTCTTTGTATCCAACTTGTCACTTGAATAAGGTTTCAACCAGTGTTCTACAAATCGCCCTAGGCGGGGCCTAGGTGTTGGGCGGTGGTGCCCCGATGCATTTTAAGGCAAATTGTTACGGAAATCGGTGGGGAGTTAGGCGGCCGTTTAGGCGCTCTAGGCGGTCCAGACGGCCTAGGTAGATTAAATCTTGTCTTCTTCAATCGCTGGCTCTGCAACTTTCATCTTGAACTCTATTTTTCTCTGTGCACAATTCTCGTCGTTGTATTCTCTTTTGCCCTAAATCATGTTATTTGGCCTTGATTAAGCAGACTCACATCTTCAACTCCAACTCTCGCGACACCAGACTGGAAAAAGAAAGGAATTTACAGAAGAGAATGGAAGAAGATTTACGAGAGGAGGAAGAGGAAATAGAAGAAAAGAAAAAAAATGAAATGAAACGAAGATGTGAGAAAGGAGGAAAAGGAAATAGAAGAAAACCCAAAATAAAGAGTTTTCCAGTTTTCAAGGCATCAAAAGGTGTTGAAGAGTGTACCACTTTGCTATATTTACTGTCATGTCCACCACTAGCCCTATTATTAAATAGACAATTGATTTCTTCAATATTTTTTACATTATAAGCCTTTGATATGAGATTGAAACCATGGGTAATGTGACAGAGGTAGGGCTTCATCGATTGGGAGTGATTTGGAACAAGTGGAGTGCATGGGTCATTATGTGGGTTTTGTTTTAATGCTTTATTGTTTTTTCTAAGACCAAATATAATTGAAATCTTACATTACATATATTATTCTTTTTACAAAGTTACATATTGTTTCATATTTATTTATATATTACATAGTAAATCTAATTAATTTTATGTAATATTTAATAAATTCATTAAATCCGCCTAGGCTTCGCCTAGCCCCAGTTCACTGCTCAACTAGCACCTAGCGTCTTTTAGAACCTTGGTTTCAACCATGGATAGCAGGCACATCCAAATGTCTTCAATGTATGATACTTAGGAGGAGCATGAAACAAAGTTTCCTAAATACTGATCACAAAAGATTGAGGAGGTAATCTGTTAATGAAATAGATTGCAGTTTGGAAAGCTTCAATCCAAAACTGTGCAGGTAAACCACTATAAGATAACAGTGTTTTGCCTATTTCAACTACATGTTGATGTTTTCTCTCTGCATACCCATTTTGCTCAGGAGTGTGAGGACAACTTAACTGATGGGTGATGCCTTGATCAATAAGAAAACTTTGGAGTGGTTTATTCAAGAATTCACCCCCTGAATCAGATCTTATACTTTGAACTTTAAATTCAGGAGGAGTTTGAACCTTTAAAATAAAAGTCTTGAGAGTGGATTATACATCAAACTTGAAATTTAGAGGATAAAGCCAACTATATGTAGTGAAATCATCAACTATTATGATATATGTTAGACCCCACATCACCCAGGGGAGTGAATCCTCTATGTCTTATATGTACATGTCCACCTTCATATAACACGAGGCCTTTTGAGAGCTCACTGGCTTCGGGTTCCATCGAAACTCCGAAGTTAAGCAAATTCAAGTGAGAGCATTCCCAGGATGGGTGACCCACTGGGAAGTTCTCGTGTGAGTTCCCAGAAACAAAACCATGAAGGCGTGGTCAGGGC